GCTGCCACCGTCACCGACTGTACTCATCGGCAGCTGTTGCTATGGCTACAGAGCCCAGCCATTGCTGCGCGATGCAAACTACATTCAATAGAGGAACATAGGGGGTAGTGTTGAGCTCAGAAACAGGGATGTACACACACACACACACACACACCGGTGTGTGGAGTGGATATAAAAGATTGGTCTCCACATCTCTGCAGAATGTTTTTTGGAGCTGCTGATGATAATAATATGGTTTAAGATGGTTTAGTCACTGGTACCCACCTGGAAATGCCCTTTAATACCCTGGATGGGAAATATAATCTCTGATCACCTGACAAGGGTCCGATCGAGCTCTCTGACTTCTCCACATGTCCATATGTGGCATATGGTTAAGATGAGGAAAATGTTAACTGTAGGTCGCTGCTGCTGTTTGAATCAATTAACTGGCGATTAGCCCTGATTATCTGATTAACTAGAGCCGTGGTTGGACTGCTCACTTAATTGATTACTTAGGACATGCCTTCGGACAGCCTGTGTTTGTCCCATAGCTAAGTTAAATTTGTACAGTAGCTGGTCAGGTTTGAAAGGCACTAATCCAGTTCCTATGTTTCAATCCCAATCCCATGTACAAGAATCTAAATTTAGCCATAAAGCTGACTCAAAGAAGACTTTATTCTAATCATAGCCTCTGCTTGGCAACATTTCCCTTGATGTTAAAAAGACAATTGAAGAGAGAAGGGGGGGTGTATGTTACCTTGCATGCCAGACTGTTTACAACGCCGTGCCCAAGAAACATGTTCACGCTGCCAGATCTGACTTGGCTAAATGTAAAAACTGACTGGCAGCCTGGCATATGGCGGCCTTTTCTGCTTTGTCACTGTGCATTTTGTTAAAAGAGAGACTGTGTCTACCGTTGCCCAGTGGGCCGATGGAAGGGAGAATATTTCTTAGATAACTCTGCATAAAGACCTTTTCAAATTGCATTGCAATGCATTGTAATTATCAACAGTACATGTAATGATAATCCTGTGCACACAACATTCCCCTGTGTAACCTACAGCACTAAATATGCAGACTCCTGGACTGAAAGGTTCAAGGTTCATCAAAGCTTTTACAAATTATCCCGAGGCAGTCTAGCCAATGCAAAGTCCACCCTACTCCAAAAAACCACAAGCCCTCAGCCGGGGGGGAAAATCTGATCGGGAGAAAGGTAAACGTACGACCTGTTGGTGGTGCACGAGAAAATGTTCAGGAGCCATTAAGACCACCAGACAATCTACTGGATGGCGAGATGCCTCGCTAAGAGGAAAGGTCGATCAGTGTCCTCCTCTGGGCACAAATTGACTTTTGCTCCACATATCAACGGCAATCGGTCCAGTAATCTAATAATAAATGCTGGACTAATACTGCGAATGAGCTATTAATAGTCCTTCAGGAGAAGGCGGATCCTTTTGGACCTGCACATACCACCTCCGTTCTTCCAATGAAAACAATGAAGCGTAGGTAAGTTTGGATTTGGGCCTGAGCCCAGGTCTCAAATCGTCAACCTCAGCTAATTTTCTACAGTCCTCGCAAAAAAAGATGGATTTCAGGAACAGCACATACAATAACGTCTCTGTAGTATTACTAAATTACTATTACTACATTATACTATTATTAGTATAGCTGTAGGTCACCGCGGCGGTCCCGCCATGTAATTACACCGCTCGTCCTGCCATTTCCAAATCGTCAGAAATCGGTCGACCCTTTCCTTTCCCACTAAGAGCGGGAGGATCCAGTTTCAGGGAAGTTCTTTCCATGCCATGAATACAGATGTCAGCTGCGAGTGGAGGGTCTGCCTGGTGCCACGTCTGGCCCCGCACGTCTGAGCTGGGCCTCGGCTGGCTGATCTAAGCTGAAGGGTGCGGGCCGGGCCCAATGGGAGATGCCCGGAAAGCAGTGGAGCCGCTCACGTTTCCGCTCTGTCTGAGATTCTTGGGATGTGTTGCGTGGCTCAGACTGCCGCACTCTTCCTGTGTGACACACTCTGCCTCTCTCCCTCGCCTAAAGCCCTTTCTCCCCCCACTTCCCTTCTGCCATGGATTGCCTGTCTCCTTCTCAACGTCTTGCTTCTTTTTAGGGGGCTTATGGAAAATCTATAACAGGTGGGCCGTGTTTGAGGGATATGTCATTTTTAATTATCTGTTTGCAGAGGCTTTTGGGGGGGCGGCGTTTTGCTGGGCCGACTGTTCTCCCTCCCCCCTTGCTGCGTGCGTGCATGCCCTTAGTCGCCTATGAGTTGTATTGAATTCAGATAATCAATGAATGGTTCGTTGCACTATCCACGCAGTCAGGAACCCAGAGTCGCTCATCTGCACGTCAACAAAAGAGTTCTATACGTTATTTGAATAATGCAAGAAGCGAGTAATTGCGGTCTTGGTGAACCCTCAGGAACTAAACAACTGCAAACAACAAAAGGATGTAGGATGTGTTTAAACATCTCAGGTCTTCGGTGCTTTTCGGGGATGGGGGGGGAGGAGTAATCAATCAGTCCACATCTGTTTTGGGTCAGCGCGGTGTGTCCTTTGTTTCAGGGGCAGCAGGCTCTGCTCTAGAAGCGAGCGACACGACACATATATGATTTCTTCAGGCAGGTTTGTGATCAATAACGTTATCCGTATTCTTATTCATATCCATCAAGACTTTTCACTAGACTTTTTTTTTTTTTAAATAAACCTCTCTTTTTACCACACGTATGGATACCTAAATATAGAGACGGCGAGTTTATTGCACATGGGGAAGCTTTACACAGCTGAGTTGTCTAATGGTTTAGCATCGACTCTGCACAGCTGTATGCCGGGGAAACCCTGCAGCCATAGATTGGCAACTGATCGATATCTGTAAAGCCCGATCATTGAGACGGTTTGGTCATCTATGCAATCTAATATTGTTACATGGAACACCTCTGCTCTGCATATACCCGGTGCCAGAGCAGAGCGCGGCAGCAGTTAATGGGCTTATGGTGTTAACCTGCTTGCTGTTGCTTTGAAGAGACGGACGAGCTGTCTTATAGGCTTAAGGTGAGTGGTGATCTTCTTAATCTTCTGGCACATATAGATGGATGACAGATTGCTGGTGATGCATCCAGAGGACACTGATCTCTTGGACAAGTCGACTCTATTTGTTCCACAATTGGACCAAATCCTGACCTAACTTCAACCACAAGACCCAATGTCCACATTGAAAGGAAGTCGTTTTAAAGTAGTCTTCTGCAATTAAAACCGGTGGACGGGAAAGAGAAGGAAACGTGGTGGACCTCAGACAAGAAGAAACATTATGTTACGTAGGCTGCCGTTAAACGAGTTAGTTTAGGCTCCCAGAACTCAGGCATACTTTGGTCCCAGCTAACACCTCAGCGCAGGCCAATGAAAAGCTAGGGGGCATTGGGGACGCTGTTGGACGTGTTTTTGATAAACAAATGACAATATAAGTGCAATGAGAGACCAGGGCAGATCTACTGAATCGAGTCGTCGTTGAGGGATTACCTTGCCCTCATTCATCAATGTGCTGATCTGCTCATTTTCATTACAACAATGGTGCTTTCTTTAAGATGGGCTCGCATAGAGATGTGCTGAGCGGAGGACAGAATCCACACCTGGGTAAGAGTTTATTTATTGGCTCCTTAAAGAGCTGTTGGATAAACGCCGATGATCAAGCAACCGAACGTGAGGCCGCGCTTAGCTTTCACCTAGCCGCTCAGTCAATTGTTTAGCTTTTTGTAAATTTGGTCAGTTTAGCCGTCTCTATTGTGAACTATGTGGCCCACTCATCTAAATGAAAGCGCATACTATTGTAAGCCTGTCTACCATTTGCCATAAGCAAAAATATTCTTTAACAATTATATTAAATTAAATATACAATCACTCAGCCTGGAAATAATTATCTGTACCAAAAATGTAAATTCCTTTGAGAGCTTTGCTTTTAAAAATACCTTTCATCCTTTTTTTCTTATACATTTTAAGACGATATATGAATACTATATCATTCAAACAAATCTCAGACTGGAATTATTATTTACATATATAGTACATGTATTGTTTATGCAATGATGATTCGAGAATCATCACTTTATTTTGCATCCCTCACGTTATCGTAACTAATATTCACATGAAAAAACATAAGAAAAAAAGCATTCATGTCACATCTGTGGAATCTACAGATGGAATGTACAAATACACACACATAATTGTATTTAATACCTCTTCAATCGTTATGCTAACCTGTGCAGAATGCTCTTCTTTACTATACTGTTTTTATTAAACACACACAGTTTACATGCAGCAAGACCACTAAAAATGTCTCCGCAGCCATGCAGAGAGATCAATAACTTGATATCTTCTATAATATAGAAGGAGAAAAAGTTGATCAACTTCTCAATATACAAGGTGATAAGATGTTTATTGTGGCCTCACTCTGTATTGTTATTGAATTTTTATCAAATCATTGTCATATTCATCGGGTAAATTCTGTCGTTCTCTTTATTTGCGTGACATCACACTTGTTTTATTGCCACACTGTTTGTGCTGCGCTTGCACACGTGCAGCAGTGCCGGTAATGTGTGGACACGCACTCAAACCAAGCGCGCACACAAGTCACTTTCCAGCCACGCTGCCCTTCAGTAGCCTAATGTGTGTCTGAGGTCCAGATGGCGCAGCGGCAGGAGGGCTGATTCCCTGTGCTCGCCGTCTCAGCTTTTGGCCAGCGGCTGGCTGCTTGGTGGGTCTGCGGCCAGCTTCCCCTCCGAGTGACAATGGCAAGTGGAGAATTCACAGCCTTGTACTCGGCACGCAGCTTTGCCCTAGCTGCACTGTAAACGTCAGTATTTTCTTTAAAAATTGTGGGTACCAGACTGTGTGGCCGTTTGACACTACACTGCGAATGACAACAGCGCCATTTCTACTGCCGGGTTGTTCATGTGTGCCTTACTGTTGCCCCGACGCAGTTACCACATGCTCCTGTGTTTGTGTCCGCAATTACAGGAAGCAAGCTGAACAAGGACCTGAAGCATTACCTGAGCCAGCGCTTCCAGAAATCCTCGCCTGACCACGAACTGCAGCAGACCATCCGAGACAACCTCTATCGCCACGCCGTGCCTTGTGAGTCCACGACTGTCCAACACGCCGCTCTGTCATTCCTTACTTTCATGTCTTCCATCCGCTGCCATCTACTGTCGTCTCCATTTCCTGGCATTGATGTGAGCGACTCTTCTCAGTTTCCCACTCTCTTGTTTGCGTGAGATTTCATATTTTTATTTATATATATATATTTATATATATATTTTCTCTTTTACTTCCACATGAAAGACAAAGGTGAGGTCAATTTGAGCCACAGTCCCGACTCCAAGCGAGCCCAGTTTTAGATCCAAGCAGTGATTGTGTTTATTGCTGCCTCACACGAACCTTTTGGAATGTTATCTAATTAAGCCTGATTATTTCAGCCTAATCCCAGCACAGCAACACTTGCTTTTTGGCCGATATTGGCCGCGCAATTATCCCCGCTGATTCCTTGGTGCTCTCCTCTGAGCCGACCTCCTCGTGATTGGTTTCAGTTTGTCCACCTGCCTCTGAAGCTGCTAACAAGCGGTGAGTTAATACAAACTCATTCAGCACCGCCTGTCTTTACCTGTATTGAGGTGACTCCACACAAGAGGTTGGGCGTATCTCGGTGACAATAGGTGGCTTCATCCAAGTCCCTCACCTCCAATCACTAACCAGAGCCTCCTTTTCTACCAGAGCTGTCTGTGTGATCCAGGAATAGAAGCGCGTGGCTGTGACTGTTCTTCCTCCTCACTGTCAATACAGCAACAATCTAAAGGCCCATTTATGTTTTGATGCTGCATATTTCTGTTGTCTCTGCTGCTCAAAAGCTGAACTAGATGCGTAAAGTTCTTTATTTTTCCCTGCTATGAAAAACAAGCCTTAAAGATAAGGATGTGGCATTAGCATCATAATGGCAGAGGGATAAATGCCACAGCTCTCCCTGTGTGGGGGGAGGGGAGGGCAGATAAAACACAGAGATGGTCAGACTGGTGAGCAATGCTGCATGATGCCAATCTTGTGTTATCCTTGATTTGCATGTACCACCAAGGACGATTATATTTAGACGTATAACATGATACTTTCTACAATAAACACATGTTTGGAGTTTGACCCTCATCTATTTTCTAAAGTACGACCATATTGGCTTCTTTGTTGTGGACTTACTTTCAGACTTCAGAAAGAAAGCCCTTATTATTTCCCCCAAACCACGTTTTTGCCCCGTAATAGTTTTCCTCCGTTAGTTTATTTGTGGCTCTCTCACGCAAATTACCGTCTGCATTCAGGAGGATTGTTTAAGGGACTTTATCTGTATTACCTCCAGGGCCATATGTCAGCCAGACACTGGTGGAGGGTGGGGGTCTGGCCACAATGGCCATTTTAATCACTGAGTGCTCTATGGCACACCAGTAAAAGGTCCTGGTGGTGTCAGCAGTAAACAAAGCATGAAGGTGTTCGCTGGGCGTTTTTATAGCTTTATAGCACCGTTTAGTTATTTTTGTCATCCACTTGTAGAGGAATGTGAGACTCGCTGGAATATTGCATTACAGATCATTTGTCGCAGTTTATTCTTTTTTCTTTGTTACGGGAGTACATGTTACATTCGGATCACTCTGCGAATAGTCACACGTGCAGAATAATACAAGACCGGCTACGTATAGGATGCATATATTTATGTTTTCATTATGGCTGTCAATAGATTAACTAATTAATCACATTTTGAAATTCAATAATCTAGATTACACACGATTAAAAGTTTGTTTTTCTTCCAAAGAATACATCTTAAATAAATTAACCAGTAATCACTTTAGAAAGCGTGTCTGTTTTTTTACACGTTCAACTACCGTCTCTGTCTCTCGTTAACTGACTGCAGGCACGTGGTGGTTTCTTGTCAGAGGTCGACGCACGCCGGAAGTAAAACAAAGTAGCGTAAACTGCGGTAAAATATTTCAACCACAATAATGTCATAGATAAACACGTTAACTTTGACAGCCGTAGTTATTACCGTTAATGCATGAGTCAGACGGGGCCCGTGCTGGCCTGTGATTGTGAATCAGTCACGTGTGCCCACGTGGACGTACGTCCAAAAGGCTTGTTCGAAACGATGTCAACGTGCACGTGTAGGTGTCGCTTTGATCAGTGCCCAGCGAGCAGGTGGAGAAACAGATGGAGAAGTGAGTGGATGTTGGGGCTTTCTCCTGTCTCTAAATCAACTAACCTTTGTGCACGCTTGTGTAACCCCTTTCTGCAGCCTATTGTCCCAATCGCTAAACTATAGCAGATATGTATCTGTCAACTGGGCGTAATTGCATTGACTTTGCAGCAGCAGGTTGAATATATTGTGCAAAAACAGTAAATAAATGAACATCCCAGACTGTGTACAAGTTTAAAGCAGTTATCCTGGCACCAGATCCATTTCTCCGTTTCATTTGAACTTCCAATTGTGTTTGGTGTAGACTGCCATGCCGTATGCACCACAGCCAGAACAGAATACAGTTCCCTTGTTGTGGCGAATGAGTGTGGTCCGTTCCATTCCACTATTCCACTATTCCATCATCTCAGCAAACCGAAAAACACTGGAACTAGCGGGGCCAGCATCATGGCATCATGTCAGCAAGTATACGGCAGTGAAGCTCACCAGACCCGGACGTCCAGATGTACAGGTTTTGTGAACAAGAACTGGTCACTTCATCTGCATCTCCCAAAAGTCAGTCGTTCCCTTAACTGTGTTCAAACTTCAAGCACAAAACTCTCACCCTCCCCCGTTTGTCAAGGCGTCCATCGGCTTCCCTTGTGGTCGGCACAACCTCACATTCTCCCATTATCCCCACCCGTCCTCCTCCTCCCCCCACTCATGACACCGCTGCCTCCTGTCCTCTCGCTGCCACTGCTGCTCCCTCTCTCCCTCTGTGTGGCTCTTTCTCTCCCTCGTTTGTTTCTGCCAGTTGATGGGAGCAGTGGCAAGAAGACGAAGAGACTTGTACCCGATATTAACGCTCCGCTCTGTGAGTCTGCGGCTCTTGAAAGGGGGGAGCTCTGGTCCACCCTGCATCTAGGCAAGTAGCAGTATTCTCTGCTGTGGTTGTTGTCATGCTGATGGTTTGCCGTTTTTGCTTCTCTTAACGCACAAAGGTCTGCCGAGCGGTCGCGTTCACGTGCACGCTTGAGGTATTGCGCGGCTAGCAGCACCGACGATTTGACGACCCCCGTATATAGGCTAAGAGGAGGGCTCGGAGGGAGGAGGGGGCTGGAGCGTGGGGATACTGATGGGGGTAGGGTGGAGTTTGGCCGTGAGAGATGGGGAGGGAGGGGGAGGGAGCACACACTCTAATCAGTGCTGGCGCTAGCTAGCTAGGCAGCCAAGCTAACACAAACATATGCACGCGTGTATGTTTGAGATCTGCCGTCTGATCGGGGCATATTTCTGTGTGTGTCCCTGCAGTTTATGCAGAAGCAGCATTGCTGGTAGAGGCCTGGTTGCATCCAATCACATTGTGTCCCCTGAACAAAAGAACCGCTGTCAGTCCTCGTGTCATTCCTGAACAGCAGAAGGTGGTGAATCAAGATGGGGGAGTGAAAACTAAAGAAAGATTTAGAAGGGAACTCCAGACTGTTTTTGATTGCTGACTCCTACGAGGCAGAAAGCATGTCAGTCTGATGGTGTTTGTGTCTTCTGTTTGACGTGCATCACGCAAGGTGAGGATGTTGATTCTGTGAAGGTTGGGAAAACACGTGTTGCCAGTTACTTATTCTTCCAGTCATACCAGTTCCCCGTTGAATTACACCAGCACGAAACAATGGTTTGCCTGAACATTGGACTACGCCCTACGGCTGACAGCGGTTGAATAATACTGTTCTCCTACACCAGTACTAAGACTAGTTGAACAATCCATGGACCGACTGTGTTGACCTGAGTGGACATTCTACAAGTAAGGTGCTCTGATAGTGAGGTAATGTTGTTGCCATCTCTTATTAGGCTACTGATAAACAATGCAATCATGGGCTTGTATACCCCCTTAAATACGCAGGCATACATTATTACCTGGTTATTTGCTGGTAGAAACAAATTATTTGTGTACAGTTTGTTTAATGTAAAGGAATCTTTTGATATTTTGAGAAATGGATGAAACGATTGACACCTGTCTCATATCTGCCGGTTAGTGAAGTGAGAGCTAGGATATTTGGGGGAATAAGTGCATTTTAAAGAACTATTCCTTCCAAGGCTCCTGTATATGTTTTGTTCATGTGTGATGGGCAAAGTTTACTTTGGCGTTGACATTTTCCCTCGCCCATAAATGTCTTTGGAATGTTTCGACTTGGGTTCTCATACATGACCATTGGGAGGGACTAGGGTGGTTACATTTGCACCAGGGGATCCCAGCATGCTGCATAGCAGCTGAAATGGTGCTGGTGGGGGAGCTAACGGCATTAGGAGACGTCAAAGGAATGCTGTGAAACGGAGAGTGAATGATGGGTGGAGTCCCCCAGCTTCGCCCCTATTGTATGCACACCGGTGGACACAAATGCATGACGGCAGTTTGAGAAACAAACACAACCAACAGCCGTCAAGTTTATTTGTTCAATCTGAAACTACTGAAATTCAGATTTAACTTTATAACCATCCTTTATTCAGTCAATTGTCTGTTGTGTGCACTGCATTGGCTACACAGCTACTCTAGCAGCTGTGTGTTTGGGTGCTGACTTCACTATAAAACCATGTTAGCTGGGGGTCACTGCAAAGATTGACAAGAGATGTGTCTCCAATCCAAAGTATATTGTTTGCTATAAACTATTTCGCAGTGACAAATGTGTTCCTTTTTTTTAGTGGCAGTTGATGATAAAAAAAGTGCTTTGTGGTACATCAATGACATTGGCTGTGCAGCTTCATCGTCACAATCTAGAATTTGGAAAAATCACAGGAAAAAAACATTTTGTTCAAAGATTTGACTCTTTGTTTTTGTGTATTGTGATACGGCCCCTCCTACATTTAGTTACCCCTCTATGTCATATGCAGGTTGCATTGTGGACCAAAAGCTACACCATCATTTTTGGTCTTTCCT